TTCTGAAGTCGAAGAGAATGAAAAGATTAACACATATAGCAAAGCTCCAAGTTCAAATCCAAGTACTGAAAAAAAAAAGACATGGCAATTTAAGATAGTGGAACTTTTTTTTTTTCTTCAGTTGTGGGGCTTGAACTCTGAGCCTGGGTGCTGTCTCCTGAGCTCTTCAGCTCAAGGTGAGCACTCTACCACTAGCTGCTGGGTACTGGTAGTTTACACCTGTGATGGCTACTCAGAAGGTTGAGATTTGAGGACTGAGATTCAAAGACAGCGCGGGCAGACACATCTGACACTCTTATCTTTAATTAGCCAATTAAAAAAAAAACTACAGCTGTAGATGTAGCTCAAGGGATGGAGTGCCAGTCTTGAGGGAAAAAAACTAAGCAAGAGCACAGGGCCCTTGGTTCAAGCTCTGGTAACTGTGCATGTGTACCTGTGTGTGTGTGCGTGCACACGTACATGCACATGTGCACATATACACAAATTCTAAAGATTTCTAAGATAATATCAGGGGCCAAGGGGCACAGCTTAGTGGTAGAGTGCTTTAGATAGCAGATATGAAGCTCTGGGTTCAAGCCAGCACTGAAGGTAGGGGGACCATAGTTATAGAACATCAAAAGGAACTCTGTAAACCCACAAAGCCAGCCCATCTGAGCTGGAGGAACCCTGCTTACCCCAACCATCTTTCCCAATGATGTCTCGCCCATAACAATTGCTGGGGTACTTGAAAGTCTCAAGATTGTTGGTTGGCAGGGCATGCCTATTTGGGGAATAGGGAGACTTTAGGCTGCTGGCAGAGATTGCACCCAAGCGGGCAGCTCATGTTTTTCTTGGCATCCCAAAAGACAACTTGCCTTGGTGTTCCAACCACCAAAACCAAGGCCTGGAATAGAAACAGGGATGCCTGAGACAGTCACTAGGCTCTCACCCAGTGTGGTCTGGTTATGGTCAGTGAATATGTACAGTTAATCACAGAGCTGGTGGAGGTTAGAGGAAAGCAAGGCCAAAACCCCACCCTTAAGTAGCCCACAGCCTAATGGACAGATAAATGGGCTGGGCAAACAGAGTGAGTGAGCAGGCCACTGTGGAAACGTAGAAGAGGGAATCCAATGTTCCTAGCATGGTAGAGTCTGGGGAAGCCGCCAGTGTAGGTAATATGTAGGATAAGGCTTGAAAGCTGAATTAGGGCAAGGAAGAGGACATACAGTATATATCCCAAGGCTAGTTGAGATCTGATATCCCAGGCTGAGTGAGAATTGCAGTTCAAAACCAGCCTGGGCAAACAAATGTGAGATGCTTCTCTCCAATTAAACAGGAAACAAAACAAAAGCCCAGAGTGGACACTTGGCTCAAGTGGTAGAGCACCAGCCGTGAGCAAAAATGCCTAGTGAGAGCTCAAAGCCCTGAGTTCAAGCCTTAGTTCCATTGCGCATGTGTGTGCGCACGTGTACACGCATCACACATATGTACATAAAGACAGTTCAGAGACTAAGCGATTTTGCAGAGGTAAGGCCTGAAAAATCCCTCATGGCACAATGGAAGATGGAATACAACAATGAACATGAACTCAACGTAGACATATGTAGCAACACAAAATACTACATTTACACAAAGTTTAAGGAAGAGGCAAAACTATAGTGGTTAGGGACAAACACTGAGGTCAACTATAAAAGAAGTGATGTGGATCACAAAAGTATCCTGCACAAGCCGGGTGTTGGTGGCTCAGGCCTGTAATCCTAGCTACTCAGGAGGCTGAGATCTGAGGATCGAGGTTCAAAGCCAGCCCGGGCAGGAGACACCGTGAGACTCCTATCTCCAATAAACCACCAGAAAACCGGAAGTGGCGCTGTAGCTCAAGTGGTAGAGCACTCGCCTTGAGCTGAAGAGCTGAGGGACAGCACCCAGGCCCAGAGTTCAAGCCCCACGACCGACAAAAAAAAAAAAAAAAGTATCCTGCACAGCACTTACCCTGTAAGAACATCTGTTGGACTAGTAAGTACCTTGCCTACATGTGTTTCATGAGAATTTTACTTGTTTTTTTTTGAGCCCCATTATATTACCCAGGCTGGTCTTTCAAACCCTTGGCTTCAAGTGCTCTTCTCAGCCTCCCTAGCAGCTGGGACCACAGGAGCACACCCTCATTTACAGCTCATGTGCCATTTAAACAAAAAGTTGCAAGTATTGAGGCTTGCTCTAAGGTAGTGAAAATGAAGATATTTGGAAGACTTTGAGCCAGGAACCGGTGGCTCACGTCTGTCATCCTAGCTACTCAGGAGGCTGAGATCTGAGGATCTCAGTTCAAAGCCAGTTGGGGCAGGAAAGTCCATGAGACTCTTATCTCCAATAAACCACCAGAAAGCCAGAAGTGGTGCTGTGGCTCAAGTGGTAGAGCGCTAGCTTTGGAGCTGAAGAGCTGAGGGATAGCGCCCAAGTCGAGTTCAAGCCCCATGACCGACAAAAAAAAAAAAAAAAGGAAGACTTTGACTCTGTGGACAGTGAAATGTATCACAAAGGACAAATTCCAGGAGGGTAGATAAGATGAACTGCAGTGTTGAACACCAAGAAACCTGTAAGATATTGAGAAAGGGATGTCCAAGCTGCTGTGTGCCTTGTCTTTCCCCTGGAGTCCAGTGAGGTTTAGTGCAACCAGTGTGTTCTGATATTAGGAACCTTGGGCTTAAAATCCCATGTTACTTCATGGCTATGTGAACTTGAGCAGTGATTTCATCCCTGCCTATCCCCCTGGCTGTTTGTTCAACTGCAGATCTGACATACCCACTCACAGGACTCCTTGATAAAACAGGGATACTTGGGTTGTGTGGGGCTTGGCTATCAACTGGTTTTGTGAGAAGAGGGTAAGGCTAAAAGAAGGGACAAATGGAGAAAAGATGGGCAATTGCAGCCATAATATTCGATGTACCAATGTGAAAATGGAGCCAGGTTACTTACAGGGATGGATGGAAGGGGTGACATTGATGACCAAGATGTATTATATTCAAACTGACATGTTGAATTGAATCTCCTTTGTATAGTTACTTAATTTTTTTGGTCAGCCGTGGGGCTTGTACTCTGGGCCTGGGCACTGTCCCTCAGCTCTTCAGCTCAAGGCAAGCGCTCTACCACTTGAGCTACAGCGCCACTTCCGGTTTTCTGGTGGTTTATTGGAGATAGGAGTCTCACGGTGTCTCCTGCCCGGGCTGGCTTTGAACCTCGATCCTCAGATCTCAGCCTCCTGAGTAGCTAGGATTACAGGCGTGAGCCACCAGCGCCCGGCTAGTTACTTTTTAAAAATAGGAGGAAAAAGGAAAAGAAGAAAACTAAAATCTAACAGCAATTGCACATAACAATCACTGTTTTTATGGTACTAGAGTTTGCTACAGGTGGTCTATGGTGAAGTCACACAACTACATGTTTTTTACGTTAATGTAAATAGGAACTAGGAATTCATAAACCTGTAGGGCTTCTGTAACTTGTCCAAACCTGAGGATTTTTTTTGGGGGGGAGGGGGGTCAGTCGTGGGGCTTGAAATCAGGGCTTAGGTGCTGTTCCTTAGCTCTTTTGCTCAGGACTAGTGCTTGCACAGTGCAACTTCCGGTTTTCTGGTGGTTAACTGGAGATGAGTCTCCTGGACTCTTCTGCCCTGGTTGGACATGATCCTCAGATCTCAGTTTCCTGAGTAGCTAGGATTATATTACCGGGGGAGCCACAGGTGCCCCGCGGTGATTCTTGATAATTATGCCACAACAACAAGCATAAGCCAAACTAAGACCGTCTTAGGTGCTGCATGAAAGTCAGTCCTCCTGTGTAGGTCCCAGACATTTGGTTTTCTATCCAGCCTTCCAGCCTGTACCTGCTGTGCTTGAAGAGCAAACGTACCTCTGGAGGATTCCCAAACCTGAGATGATCACAGCTAACATTATTTTCAAAATGCAGGCACTGTGCAGAGAATATTACCTGTATCACCTTCGTTGCCTCATGCCAAACGTTTAGGAGGTGGATTTTACTTTAAGGAAGCTATGTTTATGAGAGGTTAAGTACTTGAAGATGACACATCTGGGGTGTGTGAATCTGAAACAGGACTGACCAGACCCGTAATACCTACGATTGTCTTAAATCTCTCCCAACTACACCCCCAAGCTCAGGCAGTCAGCGTCTGGGACCTGCGAGGGCGACCAGCTGCAGTGCCAAGCTAACAGCAGGTGGCAAACTTGTCCTCTTCCAGCTACCCCTACCATTGGCTCTTTCGGCCAGTAGTGGGTGGTGCTACTATTCTGTATCACTGGCCCGCACCTAGAGCACTCGGGCAGGGGGCGGGGCAAGAGGCACCTAGCAACCGCCGACTCCTGGCTAGGCTAAACTTTGCAGCTGTTTCGCCGTCTCCGCACGGCTTCCCACCGTTGTTTTTGCCAGGCTAGGGATCCGATCGAAGGTCTTGCTCAGGTTAGACAAGCGATCAGTTGAGTTACGTCTCCAGCCTTTCGGTGAGGCTTACGAACTTTGAATGGCGTGAGAGGTTAGCATGGGAAAGCCAACTCTAGGGCACTGTTAAAAATTTCCCAACCAAGCCCAAAGCCATCTTTATTACCTGCACGCTCCCAGCCCTCGGGCAGCCGATGGCTTCGACACGAGCACCTGCGGAAGCGCTCGGTCGGCATGTCCCTGGATGTGGGGGCGAGGCTGCCAAACATTCTGGCACCCTGACGGGACAGAGGCCCAGAGAGGGCGAGGGCCTGTCCGGAAGCTGCAGAGCGTTCGGGGGCTAGGACCCAGGCGCTCACTGCGTCCAGAGCTCACGTCACCGGGCCTCCGCCCCGGGCTGGCGACGGAGCCCGAGTCCCCACACTCCAAGCCAGCCCTGTAAGGCCCTGGGGACGCCGACCAGGTCCCCCGGCCCCTGCGGGTGCGTCCGCGGGGGAAACCGAGGCGGGAGTGTGCTTGTGAACTCACGGCTCCCCCAGTCCCCACCCCAGGGACGACAAGCCGTTTCCCTCTCCTCAGAGCTACGGAGGAGCGCGGAGAAGGGCCAGAGGAAGGGGAGGGGGCCGAAACCCAGCCAGGCCCGGGCCGCCAGCCGACTCTGCCACACTCAAGATGGCGGCGCGGCCGCGGCCAGGTCCCTCAGAGGCGGTCCCGGCGCATGCGCAGCGCGGAGTCCCGGCCCGGGACACAAGATGGCGGCAGCGGCGCTGGGGAGGGCGAGGCGGAGGCGGCAAAACAGGCGGTCGAGCAGAACGTGTAGCCGCATCCCCTCGAGTCCGCTTCGGGCAGGTAAGAGCCCCAGGATGCCACGGTCTCGCCGCGAGCCGCGCCACGGTCCGGGGATCCGAAGCCGAGTGATGGAGGCCCCTCCGGCGCTTTCCGCTCGGGGCTGCCGCTTGCTTGGTCTCTTTTGCCGCCGCCATCTTAGACCCGCGGGTGGGCAGCCGGGCCGCCGGCTCGGCTGAGGGATGCGGGCCTGGAGAGCGCGGGCGGAGCGGCCTCCAGGGTCCCTCCGCTGCTGCCGCCGCCACCGCCTTTGTGTCGGGCTCCGACTCTGAGTCGCCTCAGCCCGGGGGCGGG